ATGTTTATTTATTTTTGAGAGAGAAAGAGAGCGTGAGCGGGGAGAGGCAGAGAGGGAGACAGAGGATCCGAAGTGGGCTTTGCGCTGACAGATGTGGGGCTGGAACTCACCAACCACGAGATCGTGACCTGAGCCGAAGTTGGACACTCAACCGACTGAGCCCCCCCAGGCGCCCCTAAAGCCCCTGTTTCTCAGCCTCCCCTGCAGGTGGGTGTCGCCAGGTTCTGTACAAAGGATGTGGGTGGAAGTGACAGGTGCATCTTTCCAACTGCGTCCCCCTCTGGCCCTCCCCTCTGCCGGGACTGTGGCGGCTCACCGTCCCGGGCTGTGTGGGAAAGGTAATGCAGAAGAGAAGGCAGAACGAGCAGAGAGAAGGAGCCTGGGACCCCGGATGACCTCTCGGAGCACAGCTGCCTCCCCAGCCGTGCTCCGAGCAGCCGGATCCGTTTCCTAACCGACAGGGTTGGGCTGCTGAGGGGTCATCCAGAAAACAGGGGGTGTTCCGCTTGCAGAGAACAGTCAGGGGCGGGGAGGAGCAGGTTGGAGGCCGTTACACTGGACTAGTTCTGCGTCCCTTCGGGGACCAGGTTGGGTGGGACTTGGCAGGCCGGGCAGCTGCGGGAGGCGAGTTCTAACTCACTATTAGAGTGACTTATTTTTAAAAAATCGTTTAGGGCCTCCCAGGAATAGAACGGGCAGTCAGGTGCTGGGGATTCCTTTTACTACAAGAAGTAACCAGGGACATTTGCCAAAGGCATGTAGGATTACAGGTCCCTTCTGATGCCCCTATTCCTCTCTTCGCTTATTTGAATGGCCCAAGGCCCCACGAGGCTGAGATTCTCCACTCCTCGCTATGATCTAAAGACCTGCCGTGATCAAGCTCCTACCAACTTGGATGGTCTGATCTTCTACCCCTCCTGCCACCCTCCCTCCCTCTGTTCCAGCCACCCTGGTTTCCTCGTTGTTCCTTGCATATGCCAGATTCGCTCCCAACCTCAGGGCCTTTGCACTTGCTGTTGTCTTCGCCTGGAATGCTCCTCCCCCTCATCTTTACATGGCTGTCTCCTTCTCCCGAACTGAAATCGCACCTCCTCAAGGAGGCCTCCCCTCTCTGACCACCTACTCTAATTTGGCCACAACGCCTTGCCCCTCTGTCCCCCTCTCTGTGAATCAGGCCTTCTCAACAGATTTCACTGTTTCCTTTTCTTCCAGCTACATATCACTCCCCAAAATGCTCTTGCTGATGCCTCGATGGGCTTGTTTATTTTCTGTCCCTACTCTCAGCCTCCTTTCTGCTTGTTTATTTAAGTCCCTACTCTCAGCGGCTCACTGTCTGTTTCCGAAGGCCCAGACACTGCCTGGCACAGAGTAGGGGCTTAATAAACACCCACTGAACTGAGTAGATTAAGCCCACAATTCTCTGTGTGTGACTTTAAAAGGCCACCATTATAAAATTTTCCTCTACGCTTCTCTGATTCTAAGATGCTGCGACATTAGCATTTTACTATTCTAAGCTCATGTGATCCCATAACGGCATGATTTTAAAATTCCCATGAGCCGGGCCTTAACGTCACGTGAAATTCTGCTGTAGGTAGAGATCAACAACTCAAGGGAAACAGCTCCTGTATGAGGCCAAGACAAAACTGACTGCATCCAGGCACTAAGAGGGTCAGGAAGAGGAGAAAAACGCTCTCTTGCACACAGAAAGTGTGAGGACTAAATCCTGAACTGATTTGCTCAGGATCTGATGTGACTCTTTCCCAAGGCCCAGCCCCGTCCCCTCTCACCGTCTCCTCTGGAACAGCTGGTCTATCTCTGCCAGTGACTGGCCTTTGGTTTCGGGGACAAATACATAGATGAAGCCCAGGCCGAGGACAGCGGTCAGCCCGTAGAGCAGGAAGGTCCAGGACAAGCCGATAGTGCCTGGGAACAGGAGGGCGGGAGTGTGGGCAGGGGCCCAGCCCAAGCCGGGGAAAGGAGACAATGAGCGAAGGGCTTTGTTGAGGCAGAAACACAAATTATGTTCCAGAGCCATTACCATTCTCACCTCAGAGGCCATGACCTCTGAGCAACCTCCCTGACCAGCTTGGCCTCCATTTAATCCCCAAGCCAGCAAGGAGAGAGCTGGCCTGGGAGTCAGGAGGGCTCGGGGCCAGTTGTCTCCCTACCTGCTGGCCTTGGGAAGGACGCGTTGGCCCATATGTGATATGGGGGTGGTCAGGGTGTGATACAATTCTCATCACTCCCTCC